TCTCCACTACGGATGGGGACTAACTACTCCATGTGTTTAAAGCAACACAGGATGACTCTGAACCTGGCCCGTAATCTCTGAGCCTTTATCAGCCCCACAGTCATTTTCTTGACTGTAGGATTCGGGTTTTGGTCAGTCTGGCAAAAAAAGCAGCAGTCCTTTTTTTGGCATATCTCCTCCTTTCCCAAATTAAAGCCTTTATTTTGGGAAAAAAGCTAATAATCTTGATATTCAGCATCACTTCTGCTAGTTTTAACTTAGTGGGACAGAAAGTTATCTAAGTATAATGGCAGCGCTTGTAGCCTTTACTCAAGCAAATTCCTACTGAAGTTGGAAAAAGTTCTTTTTGAGTAAGGACTGAGTTGCCTGAGCTGTGTATTTTACTGTGCTGTCTCTGTGCAATATGGATACGGAAAAGACAAGGGTCTTCTACTGAAATCTGGACAAGCAGCATATCTGAGAATTATACGTAACCTACTACTTTATGTTTTAATATTTAGCAGCATCTTTATGCAAAATGTTTTTTGAACTCTACTGTTTACATTTTCTCAGGCTTATGCATAACCTGTAATAATAACCGTTGGAAATAAAGGAGCCTGACAGTGGACTCATTCACCTCTGTAATCCAGGTTTTTGTTAAAGTATTGTGTAAGAGCCACGATGTTAGCAAAAAAAAACAACCAACCCAAGCCAGAAAACCCACTTCCTTGTATTTCTGTATCTAATTAGGCTGTTGATGTGAGCAGGTTGTTCCATAATGTGATGAAGAAAACATGTATTGAAAGAACATTTTTGAACTTGGGTGGAAGGAGAGGGTGGAATTGTCAGAGTGAGTAAAGAAGAAACGGTTCTTGTTTATTCAGTGTTTTTCTTCAAAAATGTTATGGTTTTCGTTCCTTCTGTCTCAAATCTCCTGCCCAGAATAAAGTTACTCTTGAAGAAATACTGACTGACTGGACTCTTGGTCTTTTATTCAGGTTTTAATAAAAGCACTTTAGTTTGGCTTTTGGTGTGTTTGTTTAGTTGTGGGGTTTGGTTTTGTAAGTAAGCCTTATGTTTGGTGCTGCCTTGGAGGGGTATGGCTTGCTGGCAGCTGCGCTCTTTCTGCAGGTTCATTGGCCGCGGGATTTGAGGCTAGGCATGTGATTTCTGCCATACACTGTGAGCTGTGTGGAAAGCCGACAGGTTTAGTCCTTGGCTGTCAACTCCTCCGAAACGGACAGCAGCACTGAATTAAAACGCGTAACACCTTGGAAAAAGGACAGGCAGCCGGACTAGCTGGTCATTGCAGGTCCCTTCCAACAACCCTTCCATTCCGTTCCGTAACTCTTTTCAGAGTCTTGTGTCACCTCTCCTCGGCCTTCTGGCCCTGCTTTCGAGGGAGCTGCTAACTCACAAACCCAGCCCTTTTGGTAACAGGTCAGGCTTAAAATGAATTGTACAGGCAATGAACTAGGTGAAAAATACATTTACAAGCGTGTTGTAAGTGGTGCGCGTGTAAGGTAAGGAGCTCAAGGAGTTGTAGGTGGGATGGAAGTGGGAGAAGTGATAAACAGCATGGGCTGCAGGGATGGAAATAAAAATCCTACTGGAATTAGTGCTGGAACAAGGAATGCCCAAGAGGGCCCCCGGGCACAAAACAATGGCAGACTGCCCCGTGCAGTGCCTCACTTGGATGTGTCTGCAGTCTTGGAAGCTTGACTACCCTACGTTCTCCTACAAATGGACCTTGAGCTTGTTTGGAGGTTCTAGCAGGGGAGCGCAGCTACCGTATACCCTTGACCGATGAACGGTACGTCTCTATCGGGGAAGGTCGTCCTCTTCGACCGAGCGCGCAGCTTCGGGAGGGACGCACATGGAGCGGTGAGGGAGGAAGGGGAGGGGCCCCCCGCGTGCCCAGCCAGATCAGCCGAATCAACCCTGGCGATCAATGGGGTGACAGATGTCGCAGCCAGATCGCCCTCACATCCAGCACTGTACTGCGCCCGCAGCGCTATATACCGGTCAAGAGCCCCAAGATCTTCACGTTATGGTGTTATGCCGAGGTTGAAAATTCGGTGACAGGCACCACGGAATCATCGCTTTGTAACGACAAACATGTCTAGCTAAAACCTTTCCAAAAATTTGCCCTTTTTATTGTTAGGTTTTCCTCCCAGTAGCCTTTGCGAAATATGCAGAGTGGCGACTTCCTATTGGCGGTTGTTCCGTTTGTCGCCGCCTCGTAGGGCTGAGGCTAGGAGCGGGGCGGCGGCGGTGGTGGCTGTTGCTGCTGCTGGCTGCG